TAAAGAGGGCGTTTCTAAAATTATCAACTAAAGTAGAAATTTTACATTGGGAGTTCAAACATTTCATTATTGTTACTTTTGGAAGTTTGTACAATAATAAAAATTAAATTTAATCAAAATGAGGTTGGTAGAATTTAATTTTGAAAGAAGGACTTCAGTTCTCAGTTCTCTCAAAATTAAATTTACAAGACAAGAATTATTTGACAGTATCGACAACGTAACAAATTATAAATACCTAGATGGTAATAAAGCAAAGTTCGAAAATGTGAAAACTGTTTTCAACAAAAATAAAATTTTATGGAACGAAACGACTGAATTGATTAATATTTTTATTTCCGATTGACTAATAAAGTGCTATTTATATTCGTCATGATAGTTAGCAACGGAATCAGAAACGACAATCAAATTTTTACAATCGTCCAAATAAGTAGTGTAAATTATAATATTTTATGTAAGAATAGGTACTACCAGAACTAGGGTGTACCCTCTTTATAGATTAGACTTTGAAATTCCACCACTGAAATTCAACCCTATTTATCAAAGTCTATTGGAAATTGGAATATAGATACATATGTACTTCTAAAAAAATCTTTATAACACCAACAAACTTTTTTTTTAGAATACTCTTTGGAACGGTAAAAACAATAAAATACCAAAATAACGAGTGTGCGACCGGATTGAAGGGGGTGGATTCAACCCCAAAGATACACACAAAAAAACATATCATTTAACCGAGTATCTAACTGAGAAAATTCTACCTCCAATGAAGTTAATATGTTTTTGATATGGTCGAAATAAATGCGAACTTGAGTCAAATCGATAATGTTGTTGAAAAACAAAGTGTAAAATTTGTTGATTCAAACCTGAACTAAATTGAATCAACTTTACATTAATTAAATGAATATTTTGAGAACTAGGACTCAAATTTATATTTAGTTACATCAAGTTTCTTTCATCTTTGAATAAAGGTACATATTATTAATGTTTTCAATAATCCCTATATTTAATTCAAGTACATTTCTAGTTAAACTTAATAAATTATTTAATTGAATGAACTGCATGAAATTCTTATTTCCAATTTTTTAACAAGCCAATGAGTGCTTGGAGAAATTTGGATTTCTTTAAATCAGAGAGATTTCAATATAAAATAAAAAAAATCTTTTTCTCCGAATGACAGTAAAAGCGGCCTTTTAATGACACTTGACAGGATCAAAAGTTGTATTTTTACTGCCTAGGCATTAAAAGTGACAGTGTCACAACGTTCCAGGTAATAATTTCACTCAATTTGGTATTTGAAATTGATGGTGACAATGACAATTATTGTCAAAATAATTTAATTATTTGGATAATAATAATGAACTAAATAAATATAAGAAAGATGTCCATGTGTGAATTTGACCATTCGGAGAAAAAATTATATGTTTTACATGGCAGAAAAGCAGATTTAATGCCTCGGCTGGTTTCCTAGCCTCGGCTATGCCTCGGCTATGAAACACCAGCCGCGGCATTTAATCTTGTACTTTTCTGCCTTGTAAAACAAATAGTATATTGTTGTATTAGGAGTAGAAGCTTTACTTTTTTGTGCTGAAGCAGTAGGTTAGCGAGCCGAACGTAGTGAGGCTTGCAATACTGCTGAAGCACAAAAAAGTGCTTCTACTCCGTATGCAACACGCTATTTTTTCTCCAAACAAATGGGGTAAGCTCGGGGGTAACTGGATGGTTAAGCGGCAGTAAAAGTACGAGCGGCACTAAAAGTACTTTTGCTGCCGCTCCAGCGGCACTAATAGTTATTTATGATATAAGTGTTAAAAGTACATTTTTAAGGCACGCATGTGAAAGTTTGCAGAATGAGCGAAGCGAATTCTGCAATTCACATAAGTGCCTTAAAAATACTTTTAACACAAATATCATACAATATTTTTTCTACAAACGGCAATAAAAAGCAATAACCACTAACAAATTGGATTTTTAAATGAATAATAAATTGGAAGCATCTTTCCTACATAAAATTCTTGAATTTGACATTTGTCAAAAAATCCATACAACTAGCACCTTGTTTTACAGGTAACGAAATGTCTTGTCAGTTTCTTGAAAGTCTGTCGTGGTCAGATACAGAAGAAACAGAGGGTTGCATCGATCCTTCGAAAAATATAGATGAGGCGGCCAATCGGGCTACCTCAGTTGTTCAAATTTCACCATTAATATCAATGTAAATAACTGAAAATACAAACTTTTTTTGACGTCCGCTCTCAAAATTTGATGTTTCACTTTTAACACTAGTGCTATAAAGACTTTATGGCACTAGTGCGATAAAGTAACATTTTTAATGCTTCGGGGCCGTGTTAAAAATTGCATTTTTAACACGTTTGTAGAAAAAAGTACTTTTGCTGCCGCTGGGGTTGCCAAGCAGCATAGAAATTAATTTTCTACCACCTCGACAGGTGTTAACCTGATGGATTTGCCTACCAGCATAGAAATTAAATTTCTGACATCTTGACAGAGGTTAACAAAGTGGCGTTTTTTTGACGTTTGGAGAAAATAACTATTTTGATTCAAATAAATCGAAAAATATCATACAAAAATTTGGGTTTACATAGAAAAGTTATTTATATTCGAAAAATGCCAATGTTGTATTAGAAAATGAACACTTTTTCAGTACCACGAAATATACAGCCGTATGCAACATCCTTTTTTAACTTCAAAGCGCTTTTTAAAACTGGTCACTTTAAAAAAAAATATATTTTAAAATTCTAAGCAATAAAACTTTTTAAAAGGACCAGTTTTAAAAAGCGATTTTAAGTTAAAAGAGTATGTTGCATACTGCTGATAATATTTACAGCCACAAGTTCGAAATCTGAATACCTCTTTTCAAACTTCTTCCACAGCAAGAAGGCGGTAAAAGATCCTACCTAAATCCAAAGGGTGTTTCTCACGCCTTAATACAGTGGTTACTTTCGAAAGTTTGCACAATCCTAAAAACTTAAAACCTCTATTTAGACAACAACAAACATTTGACGTTACCGCCAACGTACCAATAATTTATAAATTGAGAGTAATAAAATGAGGTCGGAAAAAAATAATAATTTATTAACAATGGTTAAACCGACCAGGCACATCGGTTGGGTCTCTGTGGAGCAGATGACAATGACATGGACACAGATGACAAAAACATATTTAAATTATTCTTTTAGTCATTCTAATACTATCTGTATACTTTTTTCCGAAAAAAAACCGCTTATTTTTGAAAAAAAAAAATAATAAAAATCGAATTTTCAAACTGGCCCGAAAACGCGAAACTGGTTTGTGACGCCACAAACCAGAAAATCAACAAAAATACGAGAATGCCAAATTTGTCATTAGTAAATCATTACACAATTCACTACCTAGAAACTATTTTCGTCTTTTACTACATTATAAAATAATAAAGGATAGTAGGTATATTCGTTAAACTCATTTAAATTTCGCATTTCTAAATGTGGCAACAAGCGCGTTAAAATCGGCTTTAGCCAATCAGAGGGGATTTTCAATCACGTGATTTTTTGTTTAAATTTTTAATTTTTATTTATTAATTCATTTATTAATCTGACTAAAATCTTGCAAAATATTGTTATTTCTCGGTTGCATTGATGTATCTGCGTCAAAAAATATCATAATTTGCCACGTGAAAGTGGCCCAATAATATGAACGTGAAGTATTATTAGATAGTATTTATTATTAACAATAAAAGGAAAACACTACAACATGGTATGTCAAAGAAAAACGAAGTTGATGCGGCGACATTGCGACATGCTAACGTCATAAATTTTGATGCCCCACATTACAGGGCCGTAGCTAGAGTCAAATGTGTGATAGGGCATGACAAAATTTGACATAGGGCATGCACTACTTGCCCCCCTCCGTTAAATTATAGGTAAACAATCTGGTGGTAATGGCGCCGAAGGCAATTTTCTCAATAAATAACATCTCTGGCAAGTAAACAAAATGGCGCTTATTCTCGCGCCGCCTTGGGCCATTCGCACCAAGAATAATACAAACAAATAGTGAAATCTATTTGTAAGTTCAGTGCACACTGAGTGCATTTGTGTCCTACTATCATGATGTAAAAGAAAGTGACAGAAATACATGTTTTTTGCACTAATTTCGCCAATAGCGGTCTTCGCCATAACTACTACTACTATTACAGGATAGCTTATCATCATAAGGCCTGTATATATCAAATCTCAAGCCCCCCACCACGCCAAAGAACCAGTGATTACGTAGGCAGCGTGTCGTTTCTCGGCTTGCTGTAGGGTGTTTCCACCATATCAGGTTATGATCCCATGATAATATTTTTCATCATGAATGTATATTCTAAACTACGACCGCTAGCGAAAACAGTTGACGACGTAGTTGATGATGTCATCACTAGCGTTACATTATATGGCCGCAATTTCCACAAATGAGGCCGATAAGCAATCCTGTGTAGTAGTGTGTATTATCGTATTATCCTTTCATTTGCACTCTTTCGAAACGAAAAACTTCCTCTGTGTAAACGTCAAACATTGTTGCATACATTTAGGAATTTTCGGAAACACTTACCCTCACACTTAATGGATGTCAGGCCTTTTCATTATCTACTCTCAAATTTCCTAGAGAAACCTTAACGCATGTTGCTTTTTAGGCCCGGTTGTACAATAAAAGTTTAAAGCCCAACTTAGCTAAACCAAACAAATTCCTAAACTTCCGCTTAATTTCCGATACTGTTGTACAAATATTTCCGAGCTAGAGTTTTACTAAGCTTGGTTTTTTTTTTTGAACCATTTGGCATCGCTGTATTCCGGTGCCTAAATATATCTTGTTGCAACGCCCTCAGCGAAAAAAGAAAAAAAGAAGAAAATATTCTTTATTTTGAGGTTATGTTTATGTGATTTTTGTTGTTTCCAGTTTTGTTGGATTTTAGTTTAGTGAAGGTTGTGGTTGCGAATTTGAAAATTTATAATTTCGTCTTGTGAAACCAAAAAATGGACTCTAAAGGCAAAGTTAAAAATAGGTCAGTTAACTTTACCCCAATGGAAGAAACCCTCCTAGCCTATTTTGTAAAAAAACATAAAGGCATTTTGGAAAACAAAAAAACCGATGCCGTCACGAATGCAGATAAAAATAAGTGTTGGGTCATGCTGGAAAAAGAATTCAACGCTGAAAGTGGTGCCTCATACAGAAGTGCCCAAATTTTGAAAAAGAAATATGAGAATATGAAGAAACAAACAAAAAAGAAAATAAGTGAAGAGAAATGCTACAGATTTGGAACTGGTGGTGGCCCTTTTCAAGAGTTTACTCTGACGGAAGCCGACCAAACTGTAATAGAAATTTTGGGGGAAACAAGGGTGCATGGTTTGGCCACCCAATTTGGAGGCGATGCAGGTAAATTGATTATTTTCATAAATCATGAGCGGCAAAAATTCCTTGTTTTAATTCCCAGTAGAAAACCCAAGAGTACCCCCTCAAATGCAGCTTATATTTTTTCAGAACCAAAAAAAAATAAAAACAAAGCCAAACTCAAGCAATGTACACACTCCTCCTTCACCAACCCAGAATTTGGAGACACATAACAATGAAGGTAAGGATTTATATGATAAGTATACTGCACCCTATTTTAATTAAGACTGAGCCTAATACTTGAAACTAGTTCTATTGTACCTAATAATATCTGAAGTATTTATTTTATTTTATTGTTTCTAGAAGACATAGAAGCCATACTTATTTACACTGAGGAAACCGAGGAAGCAACGCAAAATGACACTGGTAAGGACCTATAATACCTATACAAAAAAAAAGCATTTTTTATTTGGCACACTATTGTGAACTACTGCTGATTTGCAAGAAACCAGCCATACGTTCCTGTTTCAAAAACAATAAAAATAATAGAAAATTATTTACTTATTTCTACAAACTTGTTAAAAAAGCAACTTTGAACAACCCCAGTAAACTCAATAGTGTTTCTAGTGATACCTTATCAATTTTAGAAGAAAAAATGTATGCATTGTTTGTCCGGTCTAATTGCATCCTTAAAAAAATGCTTTATGTATTGAAGCTATTGCTATTATCTGTGTTGCATATTTTTTTTTGCATTTCAGATCGAAATAATGAAATAGAATATGTTGAAGACAATGGTCAACATGAAGAAATTATCACTGAAGAAAATTTACAGGAAACAGGTAAACGAAACCTAAAAACATGATTATTGATTGATTGTGATTGGTTTTTGATAAATAAGCCTGTAGAATTTAAATATTCCCCTACTACTTTTCTAATTAAAAAAAAAATGTTTTAAGTTGTAGATATACATGAGGCTCCAGTAGAAACCTGGTCAAAATATAATCCTACTTTATTGAAAACACCAAAGTCAAAAGCTCTCAAACCATCAAGTGAGTATTTAGCCCCTTTCTATGTATTGATTTAAAATTTTGAAGCTTCGGTTTAAACTTATTGAATTGTTTTAGCAAAAACCGGCCAAAACGTGGACAACATGATTTCGAAAAAAATAAGTCAGTGGGCAACCGTGAAGTCTTCTCTAGAAGAGGAAAAACGAAGATATTTGGAGGAAGAACATGAGACCAAAATTACACTCATGAAAGCCCTTCATGATGAAGAATTGAATATAATGAAAAGGGAATCCCAAATAAGAATACTTAGAAGTGAGGAGGAAAAGAAAATCATTATTGAAGGCTTAAAAGAAGAGCAAAAACAGAAAAAAGAGATATTTGAGCTACAGAAGCTTAAACTGCTCAAAGAAATGAGAAAGTGAAAAGGGGTTTGGACTACTAAAATATTACATTGTTTTTTGCATATTAGTTACTTCAATAAAACTATTTGCTTTTGAAAAAAATCTTTTATTTTATATAACCAAGATAAGCTTCACACATATCCTATAATCGAGCAAAATATTCATCAATTAATTGTCGTCTTCTTAAATTATTTATGTTTTGTCTATATGGTTGTGGTGCATGCACATCGACATTGTTGACAAAATTCAGTACTTCTTCCTCCTCTTGATTTTGAGGTGGTTCAGGTTCTTTCAATAAAATCGCAATATTATGTAACACAGCAGTTGCAATTACTATTCCTTCAACCTTGAACAATTTTGATCTAATTCCAAAGGCTAGTATTGCAAAACGCCTTTTCCATATGCCAAATGTTCTTTCAATCGGATTTCTAGTTCTAATTTGAGACTCGTTAAATAAAGTTTCAGCATTAGTCACAGGATTATCAAGTGGAGTGATCAAATAATGTTTTATACCATAGCCACTGTCGCCAACCATGAGATAATTACCAAAATCCCCTCTTTCAAATTTTATTCGTAGCATTGAATTTGCAAATATTAGGGCATCATGTGTAGAACCTGGCCATCGACACACTACATCTTGAAACATGCATTTAGCATTGCAAACCGCCTGGACATTGAATGATAAAAATCCCTTTCGATTTCTATATAATTCTGCCTCATTGCCACCAGGGGATAATATACGAACATGGGTGCAATCCAAAGCTCCAATGCATGTTGGAAAACGACTTACATTATAAAACTCTTGTGACGATTGCCTCATTTTTTCTTCTGTAGAAGGCATCCGAATAAATTCGTTAAAGAGGCTGGCGATGGCTACAGTAACTCTGTGTACAACTCGGGAAGCTGTACTTTTGTGTACCCCAATAAAATCTCCTACCACTTGCAAGAAGCTTCCTGTTGCATGAAACCTCAACGTCATCAAAAGCATGTCTTTAGCAGATACAGCATGGTTTCTGAAAAAAACAAAATATCTTCAGGGTAAGGTACTATATGAATTATGTCTACATGTACATACCTCTCTGTAGGGGAAGTAATTAGGTGTTGTATTCGATTAAAAACGAATCTTACGCCATTTTTTGATAAACGGAATCTTCTCAGAAACTCCTCATCTGACCACTTTTCAAAGTGGTTTTCCCTCTCCTGAAAATGTTGAACCCTTCTCAATCTCCGGTCTTGAACTATGTCTACTAGTTCCAGGAAATCTTCATCATCACTCAAGTAGCCCATATAATCCATTTTTGTTTTTTTTATTTGCCTCTACCTATTTTCACTTTATTTTAATTGGAATTGAAAATAGAAAATCAACATGTAATCAAAATATTACACAAAAACAAATGTATGGTTATGATTTCCCTAAACATGCATCGATTAAAGGCGATTAACCGGTCGGTCATAGTTGACAGATAATCAATGAAGCAAACGTCATTTGTCAACCAATCGGTTATAAATGACGTTAAATGCATCGTTTATCTGTCAATATAACCGATTGGTCAATCGCCTTTAATCGACTTTAGCTTTGTTGCCTTAAACCACCAAAATCCGTGACTTAACTTGAACTAAGCTTTTCCAGCAAGTTTATCTCTAAACCCGTCAGTGGCGTACCCAGGCATTGGCTCTGGGGGGGGATAAAAATTAACAAAATTAAAAAATATAGGTTTGTACAGCAAATAGTGGCGTCTTTACGATTTACCTCTGGGGGGGGTCTAGCCCAGAACCACGGTCCATGTGTATTGCCAGAGAGTAATCCAGGAGGAGGCGAAAGCCCGCCGGAGGCGCGAAATTTTTTTCGGGTGCCACGCCCAAAAACAATTATTTTGAGCTTTCAAAAAAATAAACCGTAGAAATATCGAAAAACTTTAAATACTCATTCCATTCGATGAAACTTGCAAACTTGCCCGAATAGCGTTTTATTGGTTTTTGTATAAAAACCATTTTCGGAATCTTGAGAAAAACAAAAATGTTGCTGTTTTTCATTTATTGCAGGAGTGAGGAGGCGACACCCCAGAACCCTTCATAACAAGCGATCATGATTTCTTTCCCACTATTTCAATACAAAATAACAAATACATAATAGTGTTCATATATTAACATCCATGTTACAATGTTACAAATATATGTTTAAATGCACTTCGAAGTCAAAAAACTGAAAATAAATACGCCACTGAGCAAATTTGGATATTTTATTTTATAAAATAAAATCTAGTCGCCTAGGTTTTTTTGCCATCTCATCGATTATTTCATCTTCGGAAACAGATAATTCTCTATGAACAGACATCATTGCTAGACCATTAAGTCTGTTTTGGGAAGTAGAATTTCGAAGATAGGTTCTTATCCTTTTTAATGTTGAGAATGACCTCTCTGGTGTGGCTGTGGAAACTGGTATTGTACAGAATATCAACAACAGTCTGTACACGTTAGGGTAAGCTTGTTGGTTGCATAATTCCAAATGTGCTAAAGCTTGACGCTTACTTTTTACATCGGGATAGCTATTCAGATAATTGTGCCATAATTTAATTTCTGTTTTTGAAATTACTTTAGGCACATCAGGAATATACAAATCTAAAAGTTCGTCATAGGCATTGCAATCAGATTCTGATTTTTCTCCCGTCAGCAAACACATAAAACCTTTGAAAATTTGTTTATGGTTAGCAAATCTTTCCTCTAGCTGACTAATGAAATGATCGATGAATGGTATATAAATGGCAATCCTAAAATAGTCAACTACTGGTGTTTCTGAATTTTGTATGACAGGATTTGCTCGATTTTTTTGGCGTGAAATGACTCTTTTCATCTGAATGTTGGTGTCAATACTTGAAGCAATATCCTAAAATTTTGAATTTTTTTTAAAAAAATGATACACACACGTTTTATATTTAAATTTTTACCTGAGCTTTATTGAAAATCGTTTCAAACTGTTTCGTAACATCTTGACGTATAACTTTTAAGCAAGAAATTGTATTTTCCGTCATAGCTATGGCTTCTCCTAAGTCAGTATCAGATTTTTGAAGGAAACGACAAAGAGGTAAGGCAAAACTAAATATTTGATTTATGATCTGGAGAGCTACCAGAAAATCGGAATCATTTAGACTGTTTCGCAACATATTTGCATCTCCAGACTCTTTCCAGCCCGAGATTTCTTCTAAGCTTTCGGCGACGTAACCAAATAATTCTAAAAAATCTTGTACTGCTTCATACTTAGACGTCCAGCGTGTTGCACATAATCGTTTAAGAGTTTTACTGGAAGGATTATTATCAGACTCATCAATCTTTTTTAAAAGGATATTCTGTCTCTTTGGAGTATTGAAGAAATCATATAATTTTTCTATGGTATATAGACAGTTTCTAATTTGCTGTATCTCGCAAGATTTTGAAATTGCCAAATTCAAAGAGTGGGCAGCACAGTGCACATATATAGCCTTCGGGTAGTTACGACGAATAACCGCCTGTACGCCATTAAATTGCCCCGACATATTGCTTGCTCCATCGTAACCTTGCCCGACAAGATTGTCAAGATCTAATCCAAATTTTTCTAGACTATTTATAATTAGATTAGACAAACTTTCACCAGTTAAACTTTCTGCTGGAACAAATTGTAAGAAATCCTCGTGGATTTTATTTTCATTGACATATCTTACACATATCGTTACTTGTTCAGTTGTCGATATATCGGTGGTTTCGTCTACTAGAACAGAAAACGCCCCTGCTTTATTAATTTTTGATACCATTTTATTCAGCATTATAGTATTTATATTGCTAATAATTTCATTTTGAATTTTTGGGCTAATATAGGTTTCTCTTTTACTTGATTTTTCAAGTGTTTCTCTTAATGCTGCGTCCCCTTTAGCTCTATATTTTAAAACTGCACGAAACTTTCCTTCTCTTACGCAACTATCATCTATTTTCAATTCTCCGGAATCTCGATGTCCTCGAAGTGACATTTCCTCCCTACCACATAATAATATTGCTTCTATAATTGGTTTAATTCTAGCTCTATTTTCTGCCACTTGTTTTTTTCTGTTTTCATCTATCAAGTCTATTACCTTCTCCTGACCGCCCTCTGGAATTTTTACCAGATTTCCGTAAGCATTAATGGATTCCTTATGAAATTGAGTGCTTTGGTGTGAATTAAATATCTAAAAAAAATATTTTCTTAACATGTGCGGAACTTGCGGAAGTGATACTTTTCAGCACGCGATGGCAACTGCACGATCGACGTGAAGCAGCCGTCAATGGCGGAAAAGACGCTTTTTGCACGTGTCACGTAATAGGTACAACATTTTTCCTACGAGCGCCTATACCTAATTTCAAAAAGTATTAAAAAAAAATACTATAAAATTGTAAGAAATTTCAAATTTGCTAATGTACTTAATTTATTTTTTGTGCAACCATCCGCAAAATGAGCTTTCGCGGCCGCCACACAGTCCGCGAAATTCAAATTCGCGGCCGTCGCCCTTGGTGACGGCCGCGAAACCATAAATCAAAATTTGACACTTTGACAACAACAGGTAAATTTTATTTCCAAATTCTTCAGAACAACATAAATTATTTAGGATAAATATTAACACTTACATGACAATTTGCATTATTACTAATTTTTACTCCTGAAGCTGAAGCAACTAATGAACCAGTGTTTTTGAATTGAACTCTCAAAACTTCCCATTTCTGCATTAAATTAGCCAATATATTTTCAGACATTATTTTGACGTTTTTTTTGTCACACCAATTTTTTGAACTCGCAGTAACAATTTTCATATTGCCACTTAGTTTTCCAGGTATTAACTCAGAAATAGCTGATTGAACCATATTTTTTTAACTCTGGAAGAGTGCAAGAGAGTGAAACATATGTATCGTTGTCGGATATTTTCACGATTTTTTGAGAACTGTCAAAATTTTGTGTGTATTTGTTTACTTGCAAAATATGTCATCCATGACATCCATAGAAATACTGTGCCACTATAGCC